ACTTCACCTCAATAGATTTCATATGATTGGGCATGTGGTGAACCTCTCCTTTGTGTTACAGCTGAAACAAGGAGACGATTCCTTGACAGATCATATTTAAATATTGTATAGATTGAGTGCAAACATTTGCTATCCAGCTCCTCAATGTGTTCTTTTAGCGTTATAAACAAGTGTATTTGGGTTGACTAAACAAAAGCTCTTTGATAAACACGGCTTTGTGCATTAATGCAGTATGTTGATAAACAAGCTATACTCTGCACCGCCAGAAAATCTATTAGACGAGTTCCAGGGCAGAAACCTGTGATCATCAGATGACTGTCTGCGGTTTGTTGCATTCACCCTGGCTGACTAGATCCTATGAAACAACGTTCACCTCTTCATCATATGGGTGCTGTAATCGAATTAATCATAGGCCAAAACACAGACAATGCAGTGAGAGCCTTGGGGCCCAGCTTCAACTGAGGTCAAGCAGAAGGTAAGGGCAAGACAATAACAGGCATGTTATTCCAGGATGTGTATACATGGAAGAGAAGACAACATTGAACACATGTGATGCTAACCTCTGCTTATAAGCTACAAATAGATCACCTTAACCTACTCTGGGTGATTTTTACTGTCAATAATTCATTTGTTCATTTTCTTGGTTAATAGATTAGTTGTATGGTCTCTGAAAACGAAATGGTTTCTGAAAACGATGAGAAAGTTTCCCAAAGTCCAAGATGAAAGTTGACAACTAATCAATAACCTGGACTGAGGTTCAAAATGTTCAGAAATACCAGAAACATAAAGCAGGGTAGCAATATATGTGAAACAATGTAGCTGCTCCCTCATGACATGTTGAGGACATTCCATACTGTGATGCATAATTGGCAAATTGTTCGTTTAATAAAACAAACATCTCCATTTTAACTTCCACTATCATCCTGAGACAAAGAACATAAGGAAATGGGAAGCAAATCCTAGGATCACCCTACATACACCAGACTGAGGCTGAAGTCGAATAGTCCATTTAGCTTAGGAACCTTCCTAACGGAGTGAAATGACCCGGAAGTCCCTCACTGGCAGCCATGATAAGTGCCGTTCGAATTCTCTAGAATGATAGGAAAGGAGGTTTCAAACTTCCTTTATAACCTCCTTTAGCTTAGGAACCACTGGACCTCCCTAACCGAAAGGAGAGGAGAAAATGCTGCCCCACAATGCATTGCAGCCGCGGCATTTGCCGTCACACAACAGTCGGCCGTTCACGGAAACAACCGATTATGACGGAGAAATTAAATCATGAAAGTTACGGTGCTTATTAAGCATTTTAAAACGTATGTGGTAAGTTGCCAAAGTGCTTTGTTTAGAACGTTCATCGGTATTATAATCAAAAAGAGAAATATGAACGTTAGTTTTTAATGAAATTATCAAATAAAGTCAACATTTCACTGAGCTGTGTGGGGTTTGTTCAACTTTTAAAAGATGTTTGAATGGTGATATACACAGTGATAGATGTTAAGGACTAACGTTTATAATAAATACATCTGTATTGAGTTTAACATATTTTCATAGTTCATACAATCATACGTATTGGGATAATTTGTATTAATGTGTACCGGAGGGAGAGGGTGAGAGCATAAGTTTCACTTTCCTTTTTTATTTCAATTCCACTTTGGTCATGAAGAATAAGTTTCTCTGTTGTCCACGTTCATAAAGCAAAGCAACAGCATCAGAGCACGGTGCAGAGTCTCTAGATGAGTTTACAGTAGTCCCTCGTTCTTATTAAACATCCTGGCTCCAAGATGGTGGAATGAGCTCCCCATTGACATCAGGACAGCTGATAGCTTGCACATCTTCCGGCGAAAACTGAAAACTCATCTCTTTCGACTCCACTTCGAGCGATAGATTTATTAACAAAGCACTTATATACTAATAAAGGACTGGCTTATCTAAAGCCAGTTGAGTAGCACTTGAAATGTTTGGTTCTATGAAAGCTGATGTACTTATATGATTCTGTTTTCTTCAAGGTTGTGTCTTCCTGGTCGAATGTACTTATTGTAAGTCGCTTTGGATAAAAGCGTCAGCTAAATTAAATGTAATGTAAATCCATGTTGTAGTCCGCTGTATAGTGCAGTTGGATTCTCTAAAGTACCGCAGTCTCTTCTCCTAAGTCCTTTTGAATTCTCCTATCCACTATCCCTTAACCCCGTGACGTTTCACTCAGAGGTCAAGGAATAGACGATAGGGTTAGACGTTAGGAGCTGATTTTTGGATTATCCGACCGCAACCTCAGTTCAGAAATAGCTCTTGACATATTGGCCTACCCAGCATGCCATCTGCCTCACTAGACAGCTCTGACATCATTATACATTATGATACAGACCAGCACATCAGCTGCACACAGCCAAGGTTATATAAGTGAACGCTCTATGTTTCTAAGCATTAGGCCCCACCGTGGGGAATAGGAGGGGATGCGAGTAGAGAGAGAAGGGGTGGAGGGGGGGGGGGGGGGGGGGGGTTTAAGGAGAAGGAAAGGAGTGATGAGGCCAGGAAAAAAGAGAGACAGAAACAGGGTCACAAAAAGAGAGGCCCACTGGGGTTCTTGCTGCTGGGAGAGACTGAAGAAGGTCACCTCTGGCCCCCCGAAGGAGCTCCAGCCAACAGGAAAAAAAGAAAAAGAAAAGAGCGGAGTAAGAGGAGAACGGGTCACATGGGGCTACACCCATCCACCTACTGTGTTCTCTCATGTACAACACCGTTACATCACTCAGTATTGCCTATGTACTTCCCTTTAATGCATGGAAAATAACTATTAACATTAAAGGGAAAAAATAAAGTTCTAGTGTGTGAGAAATCATTGCATAAGTGTTTTCTACGAGTATGTCTGTTTACATAGGTTCTGCACTCTCTGTAGCCAACGCTTGGTCTATTTAAAATCCTATCTGTAGAGACAATGTTTATACTTGACTACTGGATTTGACCAGGGCTAATAATCAACCCAGGGAAAGCACACTGCGATTTAAACAGATGGCTAATGATTAATGAACTGTGAGCATCTGGGTCCGTGCCAGCTGATCTAACATACATTTACTTTGTTTTAGTCCCGTTCTGTATAGAATCCTGACACTCTATAGGGCTTTGGCACGACCTACATTAACATAATAATGACAGAAACCGTATTTAGAAGTAAAGATGTATTCAATCTCCCAGACACCTTGAGAACTTTTAGAGGAATAAATAAGCCTATATCCTACTTTAAAACCAGCATAACTTCCTTTGTTCTTTCTACTTTCCATAAGATGACGTAAAAAGGGAGGTTATTTTGGGCCTAAATTCATCCTGTAAAACGAGACTGCAACCTTTTTCTGAGGACATCTCAAGTCTAATGATTTAAACATCTAAGAGTCAAAACTGTTTTTTTTGCATTGGTTACCATGTTGATGGGAAAATCCATACACTGCCTTTTAAATAAGCCTCAGAGGAAATGCTTCTGTTGCCAGCTTGATGGATTCAACTGAGAGAGCATACAGCTTAGACTGTCACTTTCTATCAGCACAGAGCAAGATATACTGTGAAAATAAATGTGACTGAGAAGGGACACCCTGAAAAAGGCTTCTGGGCAGAGTGGTCACATAGAGTGATTTAATTATTACAGCACTGTAATGTAGTGATGAGGGACTTCACACACACAAACAGCTGCAAACTCACTAAGGAAACTGTCACCATTATATTCATGATCTGCTGCGCTGAGATTATTTCTCTGGGGATTTGGTCTGAGTGAATGATTAAGTGTCAGTGCTGTCTGTCAGCAGCCAGTGAGGGCTACGGGACATCACATCAGGCTGTATTATTAAAGTGTTTTTGGCCACATTAAGCATTTAGTCTTGTTATAATCAGTGCAGTCATGTCGAGACAAATTCCAGGGCAATGCCTTCGTTTCAGAAAGTACACCCTATTGTATTACGTTTTACAGTATTTAAGGGCATGTTTATCTAAAAACACACACATGCAATTGTACAATTGAGTCGGAGCGTCTGTGGTAATTAATACCCGACCCAGACAGTTTTAATGCAGTGCACATTGAGCCTCGCTAGAACACTGTGTTCTGATATTTGCAATGTGTGATACATTTCAACTGATAGGCTCAGACAGTGATTATCTGGGATGCACTGGAGATTTGTCTACAACAGATAGTACACGGTATATGATGGTACACTAATTACTACTCAAAATACCAGACTAGTGTCATGCAGACCATTATACACAATGATAAACTATATTTTAGAGATGCATGGCAAAAAGATAAATGTTAATAACACTATTTTCAAACTGGGTTTGGTTTAGAAAGCTTTATGCCAGCCCAAAAACATTTACAAATGCAATGTTCCCTTTCATTACAGCCTTATATTAGATACTTCATTGAAATCAATAGTAAAATGAACACTAGAATGATGCAATGTTCTTACAATAACAGTGCAAGTAGGCTATGCATTTAACACCTCACTTCAACACCTGAAGGAGAAAATGAGGACAACAGAATTAGGGTCAAGAAACAGAGCTGAGAGGCTTCCTATAGATCATTTCCTATACATTATGGGTGTATCATAGCTGGTGGTCTTTATCGATCAGTCTGACTCCCTCCGTTTGTGTGTGCACGTGTGCATGCGTGATTGGACCATGCGCGCGCCAGAGTGCAGCAGGCATAAATCCAAGTTCGGGCCTGTGTGCAGCACATAGTACCACAAGCATAAACACTTAAAGGAAAAGGGCAGCATGACCGCTGTACATGTGTACCCGGCAGTGTTGCCTTGTAAATTGACAAACTAAGCAGAAAGGAAACGTCAACAATAGTTGCGGAATGGCTGCAGACCAACAATTAGACCCAGCCTACTGTACTGTCCACCGTGTGTACCTTGGCTGCTGTCAAACCAGCCCCGGCTACTGATGCTAGCAACGCCAAACACACTGCAAACACCACGCTATGGCCATCGGGAGGGTTTAAAGCATCATAGCGACCTTACCGTCGGTTACCCCCACGCGGTCTGGACAACCAGTTCGGGTTGGATATTGGGGGCATTAGGCGGAAATGAAGCGGGAGAAAGTCAGAGGGGCTCCTCCGGTTTGTGCATTACAAGTGTAGCGGCAGCGCAGAGCGGCTACACGTCTCCCCTCACTCCGAAGCCCGGTCCTCAGCTAAGCTGCTACGCCTCGTAGTGCCAGAAGTATCCCCCTCCTCACACAGGTCCGTGTCTTCCTTCCGACAAAGCTTTTGCATGAAAATTTGTAGTTTGTTCCCCCCTTTTTCTGGTGGCCTTTCAGTAGCGTTTGGATGGGCTGCAGCGACAGGAGGGAAAGAGCACAAAAAAAAGAAATACTACATGGTCGCTCCTCCCTCTGCTTATGTACTGTACAGTAAGGGGAGCTCTGCTGGGGTTACCACTTATTAAAACTATCTACCGCTCTCTACAGGACCACCACTGTAAAACACAAACTTGTAGCCTGCACACAAACACATGTCGGGACGGTGAGATAGAGAAATGTTGAACATCTCCCTGCCTTGGGTCGCCTTTGCTTTCCTTATTTATTACTCCATCATGAACGAGCCGAAGCCCCCTCCCTCCTCCTTCTCCCTGTAAGAAGGTGAGATCAGTCCATCTTGGAGGTAGACATTATAGCTCTGATGAAAGGACACGACTGGGCTGTTAAATCAATACAAAGGCGTTTATCAGAGAACTATCTAAATAATCTAAATAACTCAATTATCAAGACACTTTATCAGGAATATGATCAACAATTTGGATTATTGATTCATCATGCAAGTCATGTATCAAGCATACACGCCATTCTCAGGATTCAGGTCAAATGTAAAACATTCACTGTTTTATATAAATGCTATTTGTGAAAAAAACTGAGTTTTGAACTAATGGTCGGCCATAGGAAATATGATTGAACTTGTGATTGTATTCAATACACATTTTCAGGTAAATTACTTTCTATTAATTAAATGTTTGTCTTTAAAATGTCCACATGACGTTTTTGGATTCTTTATTTATTTCAGTTAACGGTTCAAAAAGCAAAAATATATTTCCAAAGAAAAATAGAAGCTAAAAAATGCCTCAAATGAAAATGTTGACAACTTTTGGATAGTTGACCAATCGTTACAGCAGTTTTTTTTGAAGACATGAAAAGACTGCAGACAAAACAATTAGTTAAAAAAATGTCAATCACTCAGTGAAAATAATCAATACTATTGACCTTGTAAGCAATATTTGCAATGCAGTGATTGTTATCACAAACAACAAGCAGAGGGGATCAGGGCTAAATTAGCTTTTTTGCAATAATCCCTGGATTGCTTTTCATGATTGCAATTATTTAATTGCTACCAACACATATATGGCTGTACAGTCCAATAGACTAGGATAGAGTGAAGGAAAGACAGAATATAATGCACTCCATTTATTTTGATTAAAATAACAGCTGGACAAACAGAATCTATAAAATTACCATAACTACTTCATATCGGCCGTAGGCTGACAAAGGCATCCTGGGAGCCTGAAGTATCCTGATGCCAATGCAGCCAAAGAGTCTCTTAACATATGGTAGTGTGGATCGTTTTTTTTTTTGTTTTTTTTTTTTTTAATACCATTACGAGAAAAGTCCAATTGTCGATAAAACGTAGTGCAGGCAGTGCTCATGAACAAACTCTTTAGACTTGTTAGAAGTTCGGCGTGCTGAGCAAATGTGACTGAAGCTTCAAAACTGATATTTCTGTCGGAAAAATGTAGCAGACAAATATTCAGCAAATCACAAGCTGTGGAAGTGGCACAATGTTCAAGCACTGCATTGCTAGAACTGAGAAATGAATCTTTGATTGTTTTCAATAGCAGGGGAGGAGAATCGTGGTAGAGAATGAAAGGTCTACATGCAACAAACACAAAAGTGCACACTGTTTTATCTCCGAAACCATAATTTCACTGACCATCTCCATGTCTCACTTTAACATTTCACTATGTGGGAATGTACACAAGTAGTGATAGGCCTACAGGAAGTTGCTATTGATTAAATGCTGGTGTTGGTTATATGCACTTGATTTCCAGAAAAAGTCTGTCTTATAGAACAAAGCAGATCCAGTGAGCTAGCTCTATCCACAGCCTAATTGTCGTCCTCAGAAAAGGACATGTTGAGAACTGTGCTAATGACTCAAGTCTGCATTTGATCATGTTGGTTTCGTCCCTCTAAAAGTGGCCATTGCATGCGTGCCTGACGTACAGGGCTTTGAGTGCAAATGGTATGTTTCAGTTGCTGTGACAATTCTGAAGGACACCCATTACTGAGGGACACAATTACAAGATTCATTACAGATCTTCCGAGATGTTCAGCTCAGATATAGAACAGGCAGGTGGGACATAATCTCACCTCGAGCGATAAAGAGTTGGATTGTTACTGCTAAATGTATGGTCATTTTTACAACAATATATGCACAAGGTAAACCTGATGTGAGCACTTGCAGAAAAAAAATCTGAGCTTGTGTGCATACATTTACACTTGTATAAAATATCCACGTATCTGTGAACCAAATTTGAAGTCACAGAAGAAGAAAAAAAGTTGTGTAGCTTGTAGAAAAAAATGAACTTAGTGATAAAATGTTCACTTGCAGAAAAATATATTTTTTTAAAATATATTTTCCATTACAACTGCAACTTGGTTAATACAACCTCTCAAATCAGTCATTACAACTTCACGAATCTGCTCTGTGGCAGTATAAATCGACAAATCTGCAGCCTTGACTTTTGCTACACTTCTTGCGATGAATGTGTCGCAAAAGTAATTTTCACCTGTAAATGTGGGGGAGGGAGGGGGGTTGGAACGAAGGGGCGGAGCTATCAGAACGACGAGGCTCGGGGTCAGTCCACACAGTCACAGCCATAGTCAGGTCGAACCGGATGACTGCGGGGCTAACGGTCCGTGTCTTCATGCTTATATCGGACTATTGTGACTCGCTCTGCGGTTAAAACAGACGGTGCATGAATGCGGTTTTGCGGAAAGCGAAATTCGAGTACTTTATGTGTTTTATGATTTAATCAGCTACGTAATTAATGTTAAGGCTTGGGTTAGCGTGTAAGCGAGTGGTAGATACATCTGTGCTAACGATGCTAATCGTAACCTGCAAGTTAAAACCATAGACTGTTATATATAAAGGTTAAAACGAAATAGACAAGTGTTAAGCGTAAGTGGGATAATACTGTTGAACAAACGGCTTCTGTTTGAGGTTGATAAAATAAGGTCATGATCCTTGTAACTTAGAGAGATATTTCATTATGTAGGTAGGAACTGTATGCATCGCTAAGGTTAATTTAAATCCGTTATGCTCGAGTATGGAGACAAGCTAATGTCGAAGTAGTGTATGTGAAATCAACCTCACAATAAGATGTGTGTATATTACAATTATTAATGTCATATTTCAAGATAACTTAGATATTACAATATGGTTGGTTGAGCTGGAGTTCATTATTGAGCTTACACGTTAACGTCAGTCATATCTGAAGAACGAACCCAAACCTTGATGTTTTTATTAATTGTATTACCAAATTGGTATCAAATAAACAGTAAGCATTGGTAACACAACTTCCAAAGTTACCGAAAAATAAAAAGGACCCTGACTCAGACAATACACAATCCAACATGTTCAACAGAAGAGAATAAGTTATATTGTTTGTATACATGGTACTTTACATAATATATATATATATATATATAAGTGACTTGGAAGTACGTGACTACCAAGCCAGCATCCTCGCAATTGAGAAACACCCACGGACCGTTAGCCCCGCAGTCATCCGGTTCGACCTGACTATGGCTGTGACTGTGGCCGTTTCTCAATCTCGAGGATGCTGTCTTGGTAGTTGCGTACTTCCAAGTCACTTCCTTCAGAAACGAAGCAAGTATACTTCCAAGCCAACGGCTTCGTAAAACGAAGAAGAATGGAACAGGCTAACAAGTGTGCCACTCTCTCTAAACGGTTTCAACATAAACTGTACCGAAATAAATACCTCACGATGTCTATCTAATTATGAACTTGCTTTACTTTCACGGAACACATTTTTGGGTGATAACAAATGTAACAGTCACATATTTACCAACACATGTTTCTACGCCACTACATATTTACATTTAAATGTGTGCTGCGTCGGTTCAGCCATTCTCCGCAAGAGTTTTTGAAATTGGTCCGTGCTCAAAGCATTGTGGGGATTTTAAGGATGCGAAATCTACCCATGTGCAGCCTCGAAATTTCCCCCAAACCAAGGACGCGGCCTCGGTGGAATTCCAAGTATGCTGGAGATTGGAACAGTACTTCGGCGGCACTCAATGACGTAGCATCCTTGAAATATTGGCTTGGAAGCCAGTATCCTCGAGATTGAGAAACGGCAAGTGTGTTACTGACCCGAGCCTCGTCGTTCTGATAGCTCCGCCCCTTCGCTCCAACCCCCCTCCCTCCCCCCACATCTACAGGTGAAAATTACTTTTGCGACACATTCATCGCAAGAAGTGTAGCAAAAGTCAAGGCCGCAGATTCGTGAAGTTGTATTAACCAAGTTGCAGTTGTAATGGAAAATATATATTTAAAAAAATTAAAAGTGAACATTTCATCACTAAGTTCATTTTTTTTCTACAAGCTACACACCTTTTTTTCTTCTTCTGTGACTTCAAATTTGGTTCACAGATACGTGGATATTTTATACAAGTGTAAATGTCATGCACACAAGCTCAGATTTTTTTTTCTGCAAGTGCTCACATCAGGTTTTACACGCTCTCGCATTTTGGCACATATCTACCTTCATACTATAGTATGGTTTAAGGTTACATTAAGGTGAATAAAGTGATTAGGCACTTGTATTCTTTCAAGGATGTGTAAATGTTATACTTACATGTCATTGGAAGAGTTTCTTCTGCTCGCAGTGATCTTTGTCAAAGCTGGCCATGAAACTTTCGCTTTCCAGATCACAACAGAATCCAGAGTCCTGTGAAAGAAAAGTGTTTTTGTTAATACCATTTGTGGCTTATATGAGGCTTCACCTGATACGCAGAGTGAAGCAGGTAGGACCCAAACGCAGATAACACTTGATAATACCTTTATTGCAAGGGCCTCTTATCTAAATATAAATTAAACTTGAACAAACCAAACACTCTACGGTGAAGTAGGTCACAAACAAAAGAAGCACCAACACTGAACACAGGAGTAGACAAGACTAAATACAGGGAGGGGTAATCACAAGACGAGAAACAGCCGGGCAGGGGAGGAGAACACAAAGGGCTTACAGGTGAACGAACAATCAAAACAACTAGACACACCAGGGAAACTAACGACGGGAGGAAAAACACAGGGAAAAGGACCAGACAATAACCCAGGAGGAAAACATGACAGCAAACACCCAAACATACAAAACTACAAGCGTGTCATAAACCTAGGAGTGTGACAGACCCCCCCCCCGCTCAA